AGCAGTTCAAAACACGGTGGAAAACAGAGACTCGAAAAATTCCAATTCTACAGTAACCTAAAATAATTTTTTGAAATTTGTCTATCGTTGGAGCAAATAATTATTGAATAAGGACTTCAAAAAATGTATCTACCGTAGTTCCTTTAATAGAAGCTTGCCAAAACCGTCAACTTTGAGCTCAATTTTCTCGGTTCCTATGAGAAATATCAAACATTTTTCAACTAATAAAATCTTTTTATAATATGATTAACAATTTATCAGTTGACAGCATTTTTGCTTCTTTCACAATAATCTAGCTAGTTGAGCTGAAAGGTAACTGTTTGCTTTTTTTTAGAGAAAATAGGAAAACAAATGTTTTCCCTTATTCTACAGTAATCTCAAATCGTTGTTTCAAAGTTTATACATTGTTAGAACAAACAATTTCGAAAATACATACTATTTTAAAATTTATTTACGGTATTCTCCCCGTGAGAAGCCCAACCAAACTGTTAACTTTGAACTTAATTATCTCGATTTCTGTAAAAGATATCAAACATCTGTCAACTAATGAAATATTGCTGCTATTATGATGAAGAATTCATCAGCAGACAAATTATTGATATCTCTCATAAGAACTATGATAATTGCGCTCAACGTTGACGGTTTGTGTCTGCTTCTATGAGAGGAAATATTGTAATTGTTTTTTTTTTCATAAATTAGACTTAGATTTTGAGAATTTTGAAAATTCCATGGTTCCGCTAACAACTTTCAAGAAACTATCTCTAAACGGTCAAAAACAACAAAAAAACGTTCTTAGTGTTTACTAAACCAATCTAAGTGGGTTTAGCCAGGAGCACCCCAGCAAAACCCACATGAGTGGGTTTAAAAAGAGCCTCCTCCCCCCACCCAAGAAACGATTTATCGTTTATGGGTCGGAACGACAAGGTCCTCGTGGTTCCATTGGAAAAATCGTAAGACGTCGGGTGGGCACACACACACACACACACACACACTTACAATTGATGAGGTTATGTGCTCTCCGAATGAGTGCTAGGGGCTTTTCGCTGCTCCTACACAGAAAAGGCAAGAAAGAATGTAAATTTGGAGTTAATTGAATTGTCCAGAAGAGCAGAAAATAAGCAACAAACAACAAGAAACAAGAAGGGCATCGGAGGGAATAATGAGAAAAAAAGAAGGGATGAACAAATTGTAATTATAGTACAAAAAACAATGTATCGCATTACAAGAATTCGAAATTCATATCTTGGCAAATTATTCGGAGAGCAACAGTTTTTGGCATACTTGAAAAAATCGTTGAAGGCCCGTCCCGGCCGGAAAGCCCGGAATGCCCGGACAGGTATTTTTTGGTCCAAATTTCTCAAAAAAAAATTCTTTTTGATCAACTTTTAAAAATTTTTAACAAAAAACTAGTTTTTGAGAAAAACTGTTATCTTGCTTCAAAAATGCAATTTTTTCTTCGATCTCAAACGTTGGAAAAATTCAGGAAGAAAAATTATTTTTCAAAAATTTGTTTAAACATTTACAAATTCAATATTTACAATTTAGCTTAAAATTAGATGATAAAAACAACTTTTTTCAAAAAAAATACAATATTTTGCCCAAAAATCAAAGCTGGCGCCAACTGGACGGGCCTTCCGGGCCGGGCCGGGTCATGACAAATTTTTCCAAGGCCCGGCCCGTCGCAAATATGGTTTTTGGGGGCATCGGGGTATACACTGATCTAGAAGTACGAACTCCTCATCTTGGGAAGTATGAAATATCTGGAAAGCTCAGATATGGTACCTCGGAATTGTGGATTTTGTACCCCTAAATCACTTTTTACCCTTTTGTACTTCCGGATTGTTACATTATCTAAATTATGTGCCAGATATTTTGCGAATGAAATTGTAGATTATATGAGCATGGTACAGTGACCAACTGGATTTTCAAAGTTCCTCGCTGAGATTTTAGCTTTGAGTAATTAAAATACAATCTCAAGCTCATGATATCAGGCGAGATAAGTTCTAAGATTCTCAGAGTTGCAGAAAACCTACTGGGCTTCAAAATAAGAGTTTTGGGACCCTACTACACAAAATAGCTGAAGTGGAAAGTATTTTATTGTTCAGGAGAGGGGCCACATTTCACTCACACCTATAGCCACTTGTAACAAAATACCTTCGTAAAGAAAATCTGAGATGGGCCCAGGAGTGAGAGGAAGTCACACTTCTTTTTTTTCCTGCTATTCGTTATAAGACGCGAGAAGTTTAGCGAATTTCTGTGTGTTTTGTGGTGGTTGTGGTTGGTGGGGAAGTGGTACCCGTCCAACCAAACCGAAATCATTTCTTTTTTTTTCAGAACACACGGACCACACGGTGACGAAAAGCGACCCAGGGTACAAGAGGCTGGGACGTTGCAGTAAATAAGCACGTTCTCAGATGTTTTAGGTTTGGGTTCGGGGGGCGCCCGACTATCAGAAAAAAGAAAGTTGTTCAAAAAAAGTTTTCACTTGGTTTTTCAGTGGTCCGTCCGAAAGAAGAGGCTACTGGTTCTAGATGAGCGACACGCATCGAATTGAATTTTCAATTAATCAACAAACAAACCCATGAAAGAGAGCCGGAAGAAGTAGTTTTAGTATTAACCACGACTGATGTCAGTTTCTCTCACATTTGTTGCACGTCGCATCTAACAGAACCTGTCAGAACGAATATATCAAGCAGATGTCAGAAAATGAGAATTCTGGCTAAAACAACAAACACCGCAACTGATACAAAATCAGTACTTGGAAATAGAACTAGGGATCTTGGATCGGAAATATTGAAAATAAAATCATTTTGTAGGGATTAAGACGTTCAGAATCTGGAAGTAAAATTCAAACACCCGTCGAGCTCTTTCATAGCCAGTTTAGTTTATCTAAAAATTTTGATACTGAGAGAAATTATGGCAGGGACCGCGAAGGCCCAGGAAAGGCTCGGATTACGAGTATGAAGAAATATGATGGTTTCAGTAGGTTACCAGCTCAATATGTGCTCGAGTCGGTCACAATAAAGTTTGCTCAACTTGGAATATTATTGATGAAACTAGTAAAAAAAAACAAAACCCCAGTTTGTTTTTCGGCTATTTTTGATGATTTTTTGTCACAGAGAATACTGATCCAGAGACGTTCGAAATAGTTTCTTCAAAAATTTTCGGGGTTTCAAGTACCCCGCGTTTCAAAATTTGGGAATTTCGAAATTTTCAAATATACCGATTTTGAAAATCCACAGTGAAAAAATGACAAGCCAATTTCGAAAACGCAAAAAAAAGAGTGCGAAGTATTTTCTCGATACCCGGTAAGGATTCTTTTCGTTTTCGACATAAAGAAGGCCAAAAAACTCTAATTCCGGAAAAATTGAAATATTCCAATATATCGGAATTGGATGCACAGGTAAAATGCGAACGGATCTGTTACGGACGCTCAGCGTTCGCGCGCGGTTGAAATAAGAACCGCATACGGACCGCACGCGACCCGTTTTCAGGAAACCACAGCACATTATTTCGTATTTCTCCGTATTCTATCCGTTTGCGAACTCCGTATCCGATCCGATTGCGAATGATAACGGGGGCGT